TGGAGGAGGTTGTTTAGGTGGGACGCAGCTCTTTCCAAGGGAAGGGGATTGTTGCTTAACATTAGAAAACCCCCATTTTTGGGTTTTTCCCAGGGGTTGCCGCGTGACTTTCCACCGCGCACGTGACCTCTTCACGGGGGGTACGGTACGCGCGAGAGGACCGGTACCTCGGTCTGGCGGCCAAGTGTAATTGAACAAGTTTATGACGATAATCCGCCAGACCGAGGGTTCGTCGCAATTTCTTGGGAGGCAACAAACTCCGTCGAATTGAATTTTGTTCACCCTTTGGCACTTTTGAATTTTTTAATCCTTGATTGAATTTATTAACCTTGTCATTTGGTAAATAATTAATCTTAGTTAAATATAAATGTCTAAAATGTTTGAAAGAACCAACTTCTAACGCAACGTTAGAAGATCCCGTGTAATATAGAAATACGTTAAATACTGAAACGAAATAGTTATATTTGTCAATATATTGTTACGTACGCAGACTAGCCGACACAGCGGCGCTGAGACATCCGCCTAAGGCTCACCCCCTTGAGATAAAATAAAGGAACGCGTTTCGGTCTCATCGGAAAATTAGTGCCCCCACCACCAAAAAATACAGATTTTTTGGTATATAAGGGCATGATTTCCGATGCTCTGGGGCAGAGTCACTCTGAACTTTAAAGTAGAGCAGTATTCGTATAGTCGCCGTTTGACACGAGCAATATCGGGCTGAATTTCCTTTCAAGCAACTGAGAATAATACTTATCTCGTAAGTGTCAACTAGACATACTTGTCTACGACGTCCCCGCGTACTCGCCCTGTAAAGTCGAGAAGGAGGATTCTTGCTCAGCCAAGAATCAACCAGTATAGTTTATCTTTAGACCGTAGTAAACTTTTGTAAACTCAATTATTATTATTAGAATATAGTTACTGTAGAATTGCTTCAGCCTACATTCAATTAACCATCTCCTTGTAACATTAGTAACGAATCAGCTAAACTCACAAGGATATATATTTACCGCTCGAGGTACAGTAAATTCTCTACAAGAGTCTGTAAGTTTGGATTCTACAAGTGACAGTATAGATGGTCCTACGCCTACGCTGCGTTATTGCTGCGCCCATGTTATCTCGCTCGCAGTCAGTCAAGCGTGTAACGCTACACCAGTCGGTTTCCTTTACGAGATTTCACGGATCGACAAATCATAATAGAAAAATATAATTTCTTTAATTTTACTTATTTTCATCTGAAATTTTTTTTAACATGTTGGTGAGATTTTTCTGATGAAAATGATATCAAACACGATATAATTTGAACAACATTTACTTATTAACACGTTCACTGTCTGGCGTGACAGTGAATAAGTAAATGTTGTTCAAATTATATCGTGT